ATATCCTCGATGATTTCACGATGGCCGTGATCTTCTGCAAAGCGGCGTGCTGCATGGGACGTGACGTCCTGCCAGTTGAACTGCGGTCGGCACCGCACGCTGAAGCTTTCGCCGGTGATGATGTCAATGGCTGCGAACTCGATGATCTGGCATCTTTGCTTCCATTCCCATTGGTTGGAAGTCTCGACGAGTCCGCATGCGAGGTATGAGCCCCGCGGGTTGTCATGAATACATTCCATGTCGAAAACGACGACGCCGGCACGGAGCTGCAGTTGCACGTCGCGTGCCCCCGGGGCCTGTGCGGTTGGCCCTGCGACAGGTACGCCGTAGGTATGTGAAAACATAGGCGGGAGCGGCGGCGCGAAGCTTGCCTCGCGCCCAGCTCGGAGAAACATTGGCTGCATCGGCAGCATCGCTTGCTGCATGATGCTGCACACTTACGCTCACGATTCTCGTCTCTCAACTTCGAGTCTGTCTGATTAACTGATTCAATCCTTGGATCCTAAGGACTTGTGCTGAAAAGTCGAATGCGACTGGCGCGGCGACAGGCTTGGCTTGACTGAAATCCCTTGTGCTGAATCTCCGTCTGAGAAGAGTTTTGGTTGTCGGCTTCTGCGGAGCGACCCAAACTTGCAAGCAGCCATGGGATTCTGGATTCTGGCCTTGTCAGCGCCCTCGTCCGAAGACAGAGCAGGCTGCGAAGGCTCGTCGGGAAAATTGGCCTCCCGGAAGCATCATCGCTAGAGTTGCGGTACAGTTTACGTGCCGACAGCACCACGACAGGCATTCATGTGTGGATTCCCAGTTGCTGCAAGCCACCCTTCTCTGATAGTATATGGTCTCCATCATGAGAAAGTTCTGCCATGGACTGGACAAAGAGTGCTCAAACGGCATGGAGCAAGCCAAAACAGCGACACTCTGCATACTGCCCTGAAGTCAGACAGAGACGCTACTAGGCTGTCCCCTCCTCCTGCATCTTTGGCAGGACTGCTTCCTGTTTGAGCTGGCTTGCGCTCAAATCTCGCACTCCAGATTGTTACGAGTTCATGCGCAGACGTCCTCTGTTTGCTCAATCAAGCCTACCCCGTCTCACGGGGGTATCTTATGACATGATTCAGTCCTTCTGCAGGGGAACCTCGTCCAGCGGATCTTCCACCACACGCACGTACCTGCTGATGGCTGATGATGGGCGGATGGGAGAACCGCACACAAGAGGTTGTTCTTTCTAGCTATGTCCTTCAATCATTACTTTTAATCTCCACTGAACTGCATCCACAAGTGCCAAACAACATCATACCAGATCCCAAGCTCACCGGAGGTCTGCATGATGAACGATGGATCAGTAACATCCAGCATATCGCCTACATCTGTGACACTGGATGTACCAGTATGTATGCATGTACGTATGTATACACATATCTATATGTCTATGTAAACGTACTTGTATGTTTGCATGCATTCATTTCCCGATGCCAGTAAGCACACGGTGACATGCAAAACACGGCCATGCGCGCCTTCCGCCAGCACCGGTGCGCTCACCCTTCTTGGCACCGCTTTGCCAGTCGATGACGGCCGTGCCCTTTCAAGGGGATCATACAGCCGATCTTTACTCTGCGTTGTACTACTGCTAACCATGCTCGTGAGAGGTCTCAGAGAGAGGATAAACAAATAATCTCGCATGCATACATACTTGCATCTGTACATATATCTATGTATCCATACATCCAAACGTATGTACACACGCACAAACACCTATGCACACAGGTGCGCGTACACACACACCAAACAAATAAACATCCATCCATACATCCACCCATGCATGAGTACATGCGTACATAGATGTCCATCCATGTATGTACGCTTGCTGAACCCTAAACCCTAAACCCTAAACCACCAAAAGAAGGCCCTGCCCCAAGCCGCCTTGAAGTCGAAGCCCACGACAAAGCCAACCCAGTTGGAATCCTCAGCTCGGGTTTAGGGTTTAGGGTTTAGGGTTTAGGGTTTAGGTTTTAGGGTTTAGGGTTTAGGGTCTACATTACCCATAGGCCCCATAGTAGTTCCTTTTTGGGGATTCCCTGATAGGATCCGATATATAAGCCACAAAAAGGAACTACTATGAGGCCTATGGGTAGGGGCTCAGGGGTTTGAGGGCGTTTGGGGATTAGGATTCTGGGCTCTAGGGTTTAGGGTTTGAGGGTTTTGGGGGGTCCAAGTTCGTTCTAGGGGCTCTGAAGTGTGGGGTTTCGGGTTGCAGGCTCGGTTGCAGGTTGAGCATACCTGATGTCCCGAACGAATGATTGTCTTCAAGGGTTTCGGGGCTTCGGGCTTTGGGAGTTTGTGCTTTTAGGGCATCGGGGGTGTAGATTCTTGGAGTTGGTTTGAAGGCTGCAGGTTTACTGGCAACTACTCTGAACAAAGTTCGAGTGAAGTGTGCTGGCATGCATTCCGCAGCTCATCGCGGATCAGCAGGTCGCAAAACGTCTCTTGTCCCTGGCTGCCAGACTCAGCGCCAGACATCATGGTACCTTAGCTCAGAGTTTATGGACATGCTTGTCTCGCTGTGCTTACCCGATGCATCAGGATACCAATTTCGACACTTCAACAGCCCAAGTAATTTACAATACTGCAGATGCCACCTGACTCGCGAACAGGTTTCCAGGCTGTTCGGCTCGACGAGCTAGACTTCGATTCCTTCTTTCTGACAACATATAACTATATATATACATACACACACACCTTTATACAGATATGTAACTAGATGTATTCATATTTACTCATTGTATTTGCTTGGTTCTTTATACACAACACCAGGCATTCATGGCAGTCCACTCCAATCCAAAGCAGCTTGGCAAGGCCATGATTCGATGAGTCTTTCAAGGATGGGTGTGACATATGTATATAGGTAAATATGTTATCTATATATTTAGTGTTAGATAAAACCAAACCGGATATATTATTATATACTAATATGATGTGGTGTGATATGATGTATTATAACATAATATGTTGTCATGTGGTATAGCGAAACAAGAAGATATATGATGTAGTGTCATAAAATATCTTGGAAGAAAACATGAAGTAAAACATAATGCAATAAAATCTAGCACTATGTAACACAATGCAATACAATAGAACAAATTAGAACATATTACCATAACGTGATTGAAAGGTACAGTAAATTCACCAAATAAAATGTATACTGCAAAAGAAGGTATAAAGTCTGCGATATATATATACATATATATATATGTATATGTGTATATATACAGATATATAATGTAATGCCTAGTACACAATATGAACGCACAAAACATACATATATATATATGGGTGTGTATATACACTGCAGTGAAAGCTTTCAACTATATATGTATAATATGCAAAGTAGGAGTAGTGGTATACAAAATGACAAAACAATTCAAGATGCAACGCATATATAACATGGAACTTCACAGTCATATGTATATATATATATTTATACAATACTGTAAAAATATATATACATATATATATATAACATAAACCATACAAAATTTGCTAAACAACAGAGATATATATATATATATTGTCTGATATAATAAACCATATAACATGGGTATGTATATATATATATATAAATATGTATACACCCCAGAAGTCATATAACATGAACTTCAAGAATATATAACGCACTACAACATGATGAACTTGCGGTAATATCATATGTTTATACCGAAAATACAACATCATATACAAAAAGCTGTCAAAACAAGAATACGTATCATAACGAAATAAACTGTAATGAATGCAACATGATGAAACAAAGGAAACATAGCACAATATAAAATGTAACATGGGATGAGTTGGTGTCGCATAACATAAAGCGTTATATTACAACGGAATACTGCACATCATACGATAGTATCTTAAGCTATAAGATAGATGTGACTTAGTAACCCACACTAACAAGACTCAATACTAAAATATGAAATACATAAGAAGAGGTGAGAACATATAAGATAATATAACAAAACATAATGTGTCACCCAATAACCTATATCAAGAAACCACCCATAACCTGATATGAAACATCTTAAAACCTTGCGATATAATATGACATACCATAATATGAACTTAAAAAGCGCAAATGATGCAATTAAATATAATGCAGTATCACATACTGCAACATCATAATATAACGTGATATAAATAATGTAGTATTGCATAGTGTAATACAACATAGTACAACATAACAAAACAGAATACCGGAACAACCATAAATGGAAGTATAAATGAAACAGTATATATATATATATACATGTATATGCTTTACTCCAAGCTGCTGCACTTTGCAGCCTTTCCGAATGGGCGTGCCCTCGCAATCTTTGGGAGGATCCGCAGGGTTCTCCTCATGAGCTGCTTTGGAAGAAAAGAGAGAGATAGATACATATATATATATATACTTGTAGTAGAAAGTTTCGCTATAATCCTGTACACTTAGATGCGATCATTCAACTGCGTGAAGCCGAGGACCGCCCATCATGTTCCATCCAATGGATGGACAACCGCACAATGCTCCAGGAACAAATTAGGCCGGCAGAGCACTCCGGGGTCCGAAACTACATTTTAGATGCATTGCCGCATTGCCCATACGTCAGCTTCTGGCACAATTAAACTTTTCTCGAAGCACACAACACTGCTAGCTTGCGGATTCTTCTGGAGGCTGGCAGGCTTCCATCAAGCCGTGGAAGTATCGTGTTTAGGGTTGTGGATGACGCAGGGTGGCTTGGTGTCCCGGCGACATGATGGGGTCGGTCTTGAAAACACAGGCGTTTGAATATATGTGTATCCGTATATATGTAGATATTGTATAGATGTGTGTGTATATATATATGATGTGTGTGTGTGTGTGCGCATCTGTAACATTGTGTGTGTGTGTACAAGTATGTATAGATATACAATACACATACATACACACATACTCACATACACACATAAATACCTACATACCTACCTACCTACCT